AAAGGTGAAGCTTATCTCCGCTGTGGCTCTAACCCCGAAACATATGGCTGGCAGAGGGAAAAGGGTTCCGTCGACCAGATTCGAACGAGCGACTGTCTGCGTTTCGGCCTATCACATCAGGTGTCGCACGGCTGTAAAGTCATGGCCAGCGGAGCGCGAAAATTATCACCCGGCCGAGATTCGAACCAGTGACCAGGTTCATACCGGTCTTGGACGCTACCGACTTGGCCACGCCGGAACGATACAGAGCACTACTTTCAGCGGCATCTTGATCTAAGCTGTGACCGACGCCCGAAGACACTTGGCCAGCAGAGCAGGGAAAAATGACCGCGGATGGGATTCGAACTAGCGACTTCCCGCACGATCTGCCAACGATCACGCTATAACACGCTCGGCTACCAGCTTGTTCCTACAGGGCCGAGGTCTAAGCTCGGTCACGCCTAACGGGAGACAAAAAGCGACAAAGAAAAAATTTGCCCCGCCCGGGAGTTGATCATAGGGCCGACAATTTTGGTTCGGATGAAGCTGCATGCGGTCATGTCGACTGTCTGTAGCTACAACTGTTTAACTACAAAAGGGGAGTGTGGCTAGTGGCGTCGGACATCGTATGTTGCCCCATTTGTGACCACATTTTTGTGTCCATAAACAGGGACGTGTCTACTACCACTACTTGTCGACGCGACATGAGTTGTCGCTTGGACGCCTGCGAGGTAGGCCACGGCTTCTCACTAAGGCGTCTGTCGCGACAGGGACTTTGGGTTTAGGCTCCTTTTGACTCCAGGCTCATAAATCCTTTCTAAAGCTAAGAAGTGACGCCGTGTCAATCTAGGCGTGGGTCGATGAGATTATCGCTGAAAACGCTTGGAGGGTAGGCAATGCTTTCCTGAATCGGGCCCCCGCGGCCCCCTGTCCCTCCGAGGCGAGAGCTTCGGAGAGGCATTGATATCCTTCGTTTTCGCTTTAGTTCTTAGCGCAGTTTACTTCTGGTTGATATTCTAGCATAGGCGGAAGTAATGAATTCGTCTATAGACGGTTCAGTTTAAGCTGACTCGGGCACTGTCGGCTGTAGCTACAATCGTGTAGCTACAAACAGGGACGTCTGGCCGCCGGCATTGTAGCCACAATTTTGTGGCACAA